CAAAATATACAGGAGATTTGGATCCAGAATCTCGTTCGACTAACAAAGAATTAACAAAGTAAAACATTTCATAATCTGTAATAATCATACTATAGCAATGTCCTTTTAACGCTTGACCTGTAAATATGTAATAATACACACTTATCAAACTACCCTAAAACCGTAAAATATTTTCAACCGATTTTCAATTTTATTACAATACGTTGAAGTTATATTGTAAATTAATTGGACACGTTGTTATCCATACTACGCTACTACTAGACCCTTTCTAAACAAAGGAACTACGCATTAGTTGTACAATACACATTTAATAGCAGGATATGAGATATCGAAAAATAAACGGATGCATTGATGCCGTAGCTAGATATCTGCCATTATCAGCTTGAATGAACTAGGTATTAGGTATTTGTAAACCGGAACATGTATTAAGTCACGTTTTCCATTGAGTATTAGTAACTTATTTATGCGTTACTAGCGGCCCGCCCCTGCTTCGCACGGGTTTATTTCGCTATCAAAGGGTCACCTTTTCCTAATCTTCCCCTTTACTTTTCTAGTATTTTCTTTGATAAGAACTTTCTCCTGACAATAACAAACACAACAAAAAAAGAATTAGCAAAATTGGTCCAGGCGTTGTCGAGTTATGCGCTTACCAACACATTTTGCGATCCATTTTTATATATAAGAAGAAGAAAGATTATAATTATATAAGTTACTTATACCATACGACACTGGACCGTCGACATTGTCAGAATCGGGAGTAACTAATATAATGTGAAAGTAACTGATATTCGTTTGGATGGGCTGATGAAAAAAGCCAGACTACTACTAAGCTTGATTGCTTGTAAATCTCTTAATATCTAATGATGGAACCACTTAGTTGATTAAACATACTACTCTTTAATTAGGACTAAATGCCAATTGGAAGTACTGCAGTCCCGTTTAAAGAAGGTGAAATGGCTTGTTCCTTTGTCTTGTGTTTAGGCTTCTTTTGACCACCGGGTCAAAAGATGGGGACGCTTGCACAGCCTTGGGATCAACGCCAAGCTGCTGTATACTTACATGCTTTTGTCTCGTGTGAATTTTCATTTACATAACAACAATAGTACGCTAATTAGGGTCGGAAAAGAAGTAACCTATCAAGCCATTTGTGTTTTTTTTTTCATTTGTAAAAGCCTTAAACATGTCTTTGATTAAGACATGGACTTTTAAAATTGACTGTAAATTTATTAGTAGTTAAACTTTGACTTACCTGTGGGCAGTGACCCAGAGCCAGCCATCTCCCATGTCGTTATGGAGGAAGAATATATCCCCTTTTTGGAAGGTAAGCTCGTCCGTATCCGGCATCTTCGTGTATGGTAGTATAGCTACTACTCTCTGTGAAGAAAATAAAAAATGATAACGCCACCACTACTTCCTCAAAAGAGTGTTCCTTCATCAATCTCTTGTCCCATGTGAAAAGAGTTTAGCTCATTATCATACACTGTCTAGTCGTAAATGTGACATCCAACTCGATATTTTAAATTCGTAATTCTACCGAGGATCATCAGGATTGTCAGAATTTGAAACCGGTTTATGCCGCGCCCGCCATTAACGGAGGATCAATACAAAAAAAAGCTCTATTTACTCGTATAGGGAACAAATAAACGCTAAGGTATGTTATTTAATGTCTATGGAAATCATACCATTATCAGGAACTTATAAAAAAACTACTTTACCTTTTTATCATTAACAGGTTCAGGTGGAGGCACAGGTTCTACAAGCCTTTCTCTTTTCAGGAGATCAGAACAGTGGCTATAGAATCCCACCAGCTCAGTCAGGGAATCGAATTGACGACCGCCAATGTAATAGTCGCCACATACCGCTGTTATTCTGTATTAATAAAGTAGGTAGGTAGTAGGTGCATAAACAGGAAAAGCAGTAGGTTTTGGGTCCCAGCTATACAAATATTTACAATAAATATGTCAATGTGATAATAGAATAAGTGCTTATTTATCAGTGTGTGTTACTGAAAAGACGTCAGATTTGTTGTTGTTGAACAACTACTGAATAGACATGAACTACTCTCTCATCATTGGTAAACTTATTCTTCAGGGTTGGGTACTTTTTACACAAATATTACTCAGGATTGGGATCTACTCAATTGAAAATTGCTTTGCCAGCAAAGCCACGGAGAGAAAGTTACTTTATAATATTAATGTACATTCATTGTAGACATACTAACTAAATTTTTCTGGTCTTGTCTTTTAGGCTGTGGTAAAAATGGTAACATCATTGCCTTAATCTTTAATCTTCAGCCTTTAAAGGATGCATGTGTTATGCATGCTTGTGTAGACAGACAGTCTCCTCTCAATAACATGTCTTCTTAACCCCAACAACAACCACTATATTATTCTAATTATCAAATATTAAAGCAATATTTACCTGAAATGATTGATTCCAGTCCGGCCCAAGTAACTCAAGACATATGATCCTGGTTTTCGATCACTCTCTCTCACTGAAAATATTTTTATGATTACAAAACTTATTCCTCACTCCCTACCACAGTACTTGAAATTAAGAGAGTGAAATCAAAGTTTTATTAAAAACTAAAAAAACAGATAACCATGAAACACACTAAATGCAATTATATACATTTTTTATAAATATTTGGTATTTAATTTTGTTTCAACAGAAAAATACCCAAATTATTTAAACAAAGTAATATGAAAATATTTGGCGTTACAGTTTACTGTAAATAATGTATGTATTTAGACTTAAATTTTGAAATGAAACAAATACTTATAAAACTATAGTAACATTTCTGTAACAAGTAGTACATCAAGAGAAAATACTAGCCATTGTTCCATGATATGGATTGGCAATAAAAACTCAATCAATAATAACTTCATTCTGTTATCTATGGTTAACAAAAGAAAACAACAGAACAATGTATTTTGCATTTTACTATAGAACACCAAATGTTGAAGGAAATACTCATTCTTTGTAATTGCATAACCAACTCTCTTTAGAAAACTCCATGGGAATTCATTCATTACCTTTTGTCTATTGTTGGACCAGAAATGTGTAATTAAATGCCTTTACCTACAACTTTTCAATAGAAATTAATAGTATTAAGTAAATTGTTATAATAACAAGATTCTTATTTGAATCACACTAAGAAAACATTATCAATACTTCTGAAATTATACATGTGGTTTAACTTTTTTATTTTGCAAGCAATTAAAAAATTCTCAAATGGTTAAACATTTGTATTGTGCAAGCAATTAAAAAATGTTTTTATGGTTATGACATAATTTTAAGTTGAGTTTTTACACATATTTATTATTGCTTCATTCTAATTGGTGCCAATAAGTTTTATAATATCATGATTGCTTAAAAATACTAATCTCTTTTATATGTACTTGAAAGACTATTTAATTATACCTAGACTACATAAAATTTTGATTTTTTAATAATTTGGGGTCAGACATAATAAATATTTTTATTCATAAAGTAAAAATAAACAGTTCTTGACATTTCTACAAATTACTAGGACTTACCAAGATAACTGCCAAGTTTTCCTGCAGCCCAAAGCCTTTCTTCAGAGGTGTACCTATCCAGTCGACCATGATACCATTCAGTCTCAGGTGGAGCAAGCACAGCTTGTCTTTCACCTGTTAGATAGTATTAACAAGAAAATAATTCATAGCTGTCTGTCTGTTGAATGATTAAATCAGATTAAAAGGATAGTACTGCATTTTATACCATTAGTGCTGGGCCCATCAGCTTCATCCAGCTCCAAATCTGCCGCTAACTCTGCGATATCACCTCCGCCATCCTCGGATTCCGTCGATGGAGACCCCAGCTTATCCTTTACTGGGGGTCCGATCGGAGCTCCCATAGCCCGAATTAAATCGGCCATCTTTCAAAACACGAGCAATTTGTTTTTGAAACACTTCACTTGTATGCGTTAGAACTAAACCAGTGACTCATAGTTTATTCAGGAACAGCGCGATATAAATTTTTAGGAAATATCTCAAACGTGTTTACAATAGAAAAAAAGAAAATAATTGACTGTACTTGAAACTATATATAAACGTATGCAACCAATGACAATCGTTCGATATTAATACATTATTCCATTGAATACACAAAACAATTTCTGTTATCACTTGATAAATGACAAAATAATAATTTTATTACAATTTTTATTTTAAGTCAAGAGTCAGTTTCTATTCGATACGCCCGCAACACAGATGATAAAATAAATAGAATGAAAATATTCCAATTTGTTCAATCAAATCATTGACATTATCATTCAGTGTTGCAATTTTTTCTGGTCACAGGCCCTTGATCGTTAAATAGTTTGATTAAATGGTTATTTTCAACATGGATTTAAGACTATTGAGCTTTTATAAACTTCGAGACTCTTTGAATACTTTACTATTTACTTGAATACTTTTAAGTGTGGGAGAGCCAAGCTACAGGACGAATAGGTCCGATAGACCGGTGTGATTAATGGCCTCACAGAAATCCGGCGTCAAAAAACCACATCGTTTGTTTCGACGCATGAGTGAGGTTACCAATCCTTCGCCTCCACTCATCCCTCTCAAATCCTTAAATCTCAGGAATCCTGATCTGACAAGGCCCCAAACCCACTCGTAACACCTGTTGTATTAGGGTTGTCCACGAACTGCCCCGATTGCTTACCATCAGGTAAACCGTTTGTACGTTTGCCGACAATGTGGGATGAGATGACATAAATAATATTTAGCTGTGTGTTGTTTAGTATTTCACATTTTATCACTACTTTCTGTAGTGAGTTTTATTTAGTTGTATTTGGGACAAGCGTTTAACAGTTTCAACAGGTTCAAATATTTGAGAAAAAATGCACTTCCAAATGTTAATTTTGAAAGGTATGTCTATACAATAACACGTGCCTATAAGGTACCAAAATCAAGAATATAAAGACAAAAGCACAATATTCAAATTGAAAAAAAAATCAATAGGCCAAGTTAAATCATTCATTCCGTTCACTCAAACATGAGTTTCGCTTTTTCGTGTTGTGAGAATTTCTGATTTTCCTGTTGTGAATAATCAATTCAATTTGTGACTGACTCGCGTTGAATAAGCAGTGTTTTGTGTTTATTATTATTATAAGTTTTCAATAGTCTTGTTGTTTCTGCTAAATACTATATTGGTAAGTTTATTCACTAATCTTTACTGAAAATGTGTACTCTCCATTCCACTGTTTGACGTTGTCATGTTATTTTCAGTTTTACTAAATATTTTGAGTCGATCGATGACGCCATTTTGTGATCGCGAACTTTCTTTGTTCTTTGTCCTAGTTTGATAGCCTTCTCGTACCAGACATTACGATCGACCAAATTATAGTTTTCAACGTCCTCAAATAGTTTTACTCGATTGTTACAGATTTCACCATGCAGATTTTCGTAAAAACCCTAACAGGTAAAACTATTACCCTTGAAGTTGAGCCATCCGACACAATTGAAAATGTTAAAGCTAAAATTCAAGACAAAGAAGGCATTCCCCCAGATCAGCAACGCTTGATCTTCGCTGGAAAGCAGTTGGAAGACGGCCGCACACTGTCCGACTACAATATTCAAAAAGAATCCACCCTCCATCTTGTTCTGCGTCTCCGTGGCGGTATGCAGATTTTCGTAAAAACACTCACTGGTAAAACGATTACCCTTGAGGTTGAGCCTTCAGACACTATCGAGAATGTTAAGGCTAAAATCCAAGACAAAGAGGGTATTCCCCCAGATCAGCAGCGATTGATTTTCGCTGGTAAGCAACTAGAGGATGGCCGCACACTCTCTGACTATAACATCCAGAAAGAATCCACTCTTCACCTTGTATTGAGACTCCGAGGTGGTATGCAGATTTTTGTAAAGACCTTGACTGGCAAGACTATCACTTTGGAGGTTGAGCCTTCAGATACCATTGAGAATGTCAAAGCCAAGATCCAGGACAAAGAAGGTATCCCCCCAGACCAACAGCGTCTCATCTTCGCCGGCAAGCAGTTAGAAGACGGACGCACTCTTTCAGACTACAATATCCAGAAAGAATCCACCCTCCATCTCGTGCTCCGTCTTCGAGGTGGTATGCAGATTTTCGTAAAGACCCTGACTGGCAAAACAATTACTCTGGAGGTCGAGCCTTCAGATACTATTGAGAATGTCAAAGCAAAGATCCAGGACAAGGAAGGCATCCCCCCCGACCAACAGCGTCTCATCTTTGCTGGCAAACAATTGGAAGATGGCCGTACTTTGTCAGACTACAATATCCAGAAAGAATCCACCCTCCATCTTGTGCTCCGTCTGCGAGGTGGTATGCAAATTTTCGTTAAGACCCTGACTGGCAAAACCATTACTTTGGAAGTCGAGCCTTCTGACACTATTGAAAACGTGAAAGCCAAAATCCAGGATAAGGAAGGTATTCCTCCAGACCAGCAGCGTCTCATCTTTGCTGGCAAACAATTGGAAGATGGCCGTACCTTGTCAGACTACAACATCCAGAAAGAATCCACCCTTCATCTTGTGCTGCGTCTGCGAGGTGGTATGCAGATTTTCGTTAAGACGTTGACTGGCAAGACTATCACCTTGGAAGTGGAGCCTTCTGACACCATTGAGAATGTAAAGGCGAAAATCCAAGACAAAGAGGGTATCCCCCCTGACCAACAGCGTCTCATCTTCGCTGGTAAGCAGTTAGAAGACGGACGCACTCTTTCCGACTACAATATCCAGAAAGAATCTACCCTCCATCTTGTGCTGCGTCTGCGAGGTGGTATGCAGATTTTTGTTAAGACCTTGACTGGCAAGACTATCACTTTGGAGGTTGAGCCTTCAGATACCATTGAGAATGTCAAAGCCAAGATCCAGGACAAGGAAGGCATCCCCCCCGACCAACAGCGTCTCATCTTTGCTGGCAAACAATTGGAAGATGGCCGTACTTTGTCAGACTACAATATCCAGAAAGAATCCACCCTCCATCTTGTGCTCCGTCTGCGAGGTGGTATGCAAATTTTTGTAAAGACCTTGACTGGCAAGACTATCACTTTGGAGGTTGAGCCTTCAGATACCATTGAGAATGTCAAAGCCAAGATCCAGGACAAAGAAGGTATCCCCCCTGACCAACAGCGTCTCATCTTCGCCGGCAAGCAGTTAGAAGACGGACGCACTCTTTCCGACTACAATATCCAGAAAGAATCCACCCTCCATCTCGTGCTCCGTCTTCGAGGTGGTATGCAGATTTTCGTAAAGACCCTGACTGGCAAAACAATTACTCTGGAGGTCGAGCCTTCTGACACTATTGAAAACGTAAAAGCCAAAATCCAGGATAAGGAAGGTATTCCTCCAGACCAGCAACGTCTTATCTTCGCCGGCAAACAGCTAGAGGATGGCCGCACTTTGTCTGATTACAATATCCAGAAAGAGTCGACCCTACATCTTGTGCTGCGTCTTCGAGGCGGTATGCAGATTTTCGTAAAGACCTTGACTGGCAAGACCATCACTCTCGAAGTGGAGCCATCTGACACCATTGAAAATGTAAAGGCGAAAATCCAAGACAAAGAGGGTATCCCCCCTGACCAACAGCGTCTCATCTTCGCTGGCAAGCAGTTGGAGGACGGCCGCACTCTTTCCGACTATAATATCCAAAAAGAGTCAACTCTTCATCTTGTTCTCCGTCTTCGAGGCGGTATGCAAATTTTCGTCAAGACCCTGACTGGCAAAACAATTACTCTGGAGGTCGAGCCTTCTGACACTATTGAAAACGTAAAAGCCAAAATCCAGGATAAGGAAGGTATCCCCCCTGACCAACAGCGTCTCATCTTCGCCGGCAAGCAGTTGGAGGACGGACGAACTCTTTCCGACTACAATATCCAGAAAGAGTCCACCCTTCATCTCGTGCTCCGTCTGCGAGGTGGTATGCAGATTTTCGTAAAGACCTTGACTGGCAAGACCATTACTCTCGAAGTGGAGCCATCTGACACCATTGAAAATGTTAAAGCTAAGATCCAGGACAAGGAAGGCATCCCACCAGACCAACAGCGTCTCATCTTTGCCGGCAAACAGTTGGAAGACGGACGTACTCTTTCCGACTATAACATCCAGAAGGAGTCAACTCTGCACTTGGTCTTACGTCTTCGTGGCGGCAATTAAATGAGCTAGTTATTCTATGTTATCCTAAAATTGTCTCTATTCACATTCAAATTTCAATATACTAATCATTCCAATTACAATATCTTCTAATTCCAACATTTTGATTAAATAAATATCTTTCACTTCCGATAATACGTATTTTATTTAACGAATTGCCATTTACACAACGTCACAATGCATTTACCTATATATTGCTCTTTTTTATGTTTGTGAAGAAAACTGCCCCGCACTAAAATCTATTCTGTCGTGGGTGCGTTTAACAAACATTCAATCTTTTTTAACCCCCGACGCAAAAAGGGTTTTATAAGTTTGACGTGTTTGTCTGTCTCTCTGTGGCATCCTGTAGCCTGACTTGGTGAAGCGATTTTAATTTAGTTTTTTTTTTGTATTAAAGGTGACTTACGTGCGAATATTCTTAGACATGTTTGACGAAAATCGGTTGAGCCGTTTAGTAGTTATGGGGGGGGGGGTGTAAGTGGGGAAGGTTAAATACATATATGCAAATATATTCGAGTGGGGTCTCAAATGAAAGGGAATTTTGATATATATAAAAAAATGAAGTAGACCCCCGACAAAATATAAATATGTAGTTGATTATAAAATGTTTGGATCGGTCCCCCAACGCCACATTTTCTTTTAATTCTAAAGGAATATTAGATTTTTTTGTCGGTTTTTTTTTAAATTTTTATACATACATTTAACACCCAGACGCGGAACAATTATAATAATTTATTTGTCGATAACGCAGAGTACTTCCGTGCGGGAATCTAACACGTGACACATTGCGCGGATATCACGCATTGGGTAGGTACCTAATTTATTTTTAACCGACTTCCAAAGAGGAGAAAGGTTCTCAATTCGACCGTATATATGCTTTTTTATGTTCGTTCGCCGATATTTTCTTTATTTATAAACCGATTTTGATAATTCTTTTTTTTTTTTTGTTTTAAATCAGATAGTCTCAGAATGTTCCCATGATAAGGAAATAAGGATCTGATGATGGAAGACCAGAGAAATCGAGGGGATCTTTCAAAAGTTGTAGGGGAGAGTAATGCTTTTGCATGTTGTTTTAGTAGGCTTTCTACAACACTAAAACTTGATGATGGTCAAACTCGACCTGATGATGGAGCCGGAAGATGTCGGTGGATCTCCTTGACTCGTTTGAGTACTTGGATCTTGCCCTGTCTTTGGGCTTGAATAATTTGTATTGGTGAACGCTGCGCCAAGATTGGCCGTGACTGTCATTAGGGGTCTAATGATGAGAACGAAGGACAGCTCAGGGAACTCATGAACGGTTTACAGTAACTACCTCGTGTTTGGACTTAATTGATTTATATTAATGTAAACTTTGCACCTATATAATTATGTATAATTAAGGTCTGCAGTATAGATACCTGATGATGGTGACCATTGAGAGTTGAGAGAATTCCTCAATGATTTACAACACTCCCTCTTGTTAGCTTGATGATTAGTAGATACCGATCAACAATGATATTATAAGTAAAATGGTATAGATGGGTTACATAAACAACATTCGATTTTCACATAATTATGAATAAATCGTATGATACACGTGTGATGTGATACAAGTGAGATGACATGATTCAATAATCGCGAGTGTAAAAGAGACAAATATGAAAGAGTGTGGCTAGTTACTACAGTTAGCCACATTTTAATGTAATAACCTATCTACACCTTTTTACTTATTATATCATTGCCGATCAATATATCTTTCTAATACTGTTATTGTGCGGTATGTATCATTTACTTGTCACCGAGTTCCCGAGTGCTATAGGCTATAAAACATCACGCTACGATTAAATGGAGCCGAGCAGCGGGTGAAACCGCGCGAGAGTAGCTAGTAACAAATAAAGGGACTGTTTCACAATGTCTGGATAGTCACTACCTATGTATATGTAGGATTTATGTCATTATGAGAGGTATATTGGGCACTTATAAAAAAAGGAGTGTAACAGGTGCAGTTTTTTTAAGTCTGTGTCGCCCATTGTTGCTTGTTATCAATTTCCACTCGCATTTAGTTCTGGCAAATAAAATGGAGCTCTGTAGGTACATACCTACAGAGCGCCATTTTATTTAAGGTATATTAAATTGTAGAGACAATACTACTTAGTCGAACTAAAAAAGATGGAAGGTTAAGTCTCATTTCGACAAATATCACGCAATTTTTGCTGATGGAAACAAAATATACTTTAAAATGAAAAAAAATAGTACCTATTCTATTGTTAATTTAGGCGTAAATAAAAGCACTAATTGATTTTTCTTTTTACAATAATAATCCAAAGCGTTTACTTAATAAACCTACATTCTGAAAAATCACGTAGGATTGGCCGACGGGGATTGAAAAAACGCCTCACGTAATTTGTGGACGCTCCCTAAAAAGGAAGTATAGTAAATAAGATAAAAGGTAGGTACATATTAGATATTAAAATAAAACAAAACGAAAGTGTTTAATTGTTAACATTTTATTAGGAGGCGAAAACGAGCAATAAGTTTCGGGATAAATTTTAATACAAATCAATAATATTTGCATTACATCTCGTAAATCGTCAAGTTTAAATCTATGACATTACAGTATTTTAAGATTACAGTAACATGAACAAGAATAATACACCATAACAGACGTAGGTACTCGCATCAATAGCAAAATATTTTGGGAGCAAATATAATGATAGTGCTATCTGACACATAATATACTTTCGTATGCTAACAAATCACCCTTCAAGATAACGTTACTTGTTGTTTAAAATGTCTGACAACTTTATCTATCCTCTGTTATCCTTCAATCACTTCCTTTTGTATAAATAGTACGTGTGGTGTGACAACAAGTAGCATTATCATACAAACCAATGATTCGACATACATAACAAGTGAAGCAACACTGAACCAACACTGTATAGGACAACTACAAAATAGATGTGCGATAAACTAGCTCCTTACATAAGGCTAAAAGCTGCCACTAAACTTTAATTAATTCTTGGTATTTTTATGACAATTTCATCATATTTTGCAAAGGTGGTACCGTGATACAGATGATTTTGAAGTTTACTTGTTATTTTTTTACTTGGTTTCCAGTAAGCAGGCTAGTTTATCGTACATAGAAACACGCCCACAACTCTCATATCAAACATTCATACATTCCAAGCTAGTAGAATTTTATACACATTTAAAACAACAACAGTCTAATTCCGCTCTGTAGGATAGTGATAAGATCGTAGTGACGTACTTCATTCGATTATATGGCATGTTTATGTGAGAAGGTCACAGCGACATGGCACCAATGGCGGACGCATTGTTACGTCTGTCCACGCTGCATCTTCAAACATTAAACATTGAAACATGACATCCTCGTAACATTGATGAATATATTTATATACTCAAAATACTTACATTAAGAGACACTTGAAGATAGAACAATTATTTATGAACTTACATACAACTAACATTAGATCTAGGTATTGTCTTTTGTATGCCAGAAATGTGATACAATGGGGTCCATTAACGACAATAATGATGCGATGAATTTATTATTAAATTACTTATGTTCAATATTACTGCAACACCAATATCGGACAAAGTTAATAATATGACGATTTAAGATCTTAGCTCTCAAGTGCAATAATTCAATTACAGTTATCATTACTATTGAATGGAGGCCATGTAGAATTACTAATTTCGATATTTTTGGTATCAACCGTACACATTAAAATATATTAAAATAGGTAGCTTAGATAATGACTAAACGAGTTATTATGCAAAATGTCGAAAGTAAATGGGTACTAAGTATTTAAAAAAATATATACAATGTAAACAGAACAAAATCATTGGACACCGCACCAACAGCATGATAATATATATAGTTATCACAATTACATTACATTATGTTTTATAGCTTGCCAATAATACATCAAACATCGAAACGCCAAGATTTCTGGCAATAATTCAACAATTCTTATGACTTCGCCCCACAAATTCTCACATTAATTTTATAATATACGTTATATTGTATACTTCCTTCATTCAGTTAAATAATTACCCGAGAACATACAACTATAAAATCTAATCGCATGTGTTAACTAGTTTTATATAATAATCATCCTAATAAATACTATAATATCCCGCTCCTGTGCCTTTAATTAACGGTACAAATAAGGATAATTAACTAAATAAACTAATAGTACGTCAAAGGAGAATACTATACAAAGGGTGATACATCTAAAAATAGATGCATGTTATTAAACTAATATACAAACGTTAGTTTAAAAATATCACTTTACAGAATTTTTGCTGCATCGCGGCAGAGAGCCATCCAGCAATAACGTATTGCGATTGACATTGACGTATCACTTTGCTTAAAATTATCAATCTCATTTACCGAATCCACATCGATAAATAAACTTGAGCTGTATGTATTTGGAATGCAACATTATACAGTGGCGTAAATACTGGCCACTATCAATACACACAGTTTACAAGTGTGGATTTCAAACTCCTATTGGTTAAACACTCAAATCAATTCATCAGCTTTCCAATCTGAGCAAAAATACTCCAATATGATGTTGGTATACTTGGCGTGTCATTTTATAAACTAAAACATACCCTAATACATAAAAATAACGGCAATTTATTTCAAACTAATTACAAATAATAATATAAATCGTCATGAAGAAGATGGCAACATGATTAAAAATATTACAATGATTTCTATTACAATAATTTTAATATTAAATAATTACTTATTTTGGCAATAAATGCAAACAGTAGGTAGGTACAATAAAAATAATAAAAAAAGTAACATTCGTAGCATTATCTCCTTGAGATTAAATTAGATGTTTACATCTACATAGTAAATTTTAAACATTCAATTGCATTACTATATATTTTAAAAGTTTGGAAGATTGATATAATATTATGTTGATTATTTATTATTGAAACACGATGAACACCAAAGAAATTCTGCTACGACAGAGATGACAAAACTGTTCCATACACCGGAAGACAGGTATGAACTGATTATCTAGTTCATTAAATGATTCGGCGTAATCAAGTAAGTATAACGATAACAGCTTGCCATTGAGCTTTTGACACAATATAATAGATTCAAATCTACGTAATACTGCGTAACGTGATATTAACGTATGGATAAGAAGTGTAACACAACCCTTTCATAGGTCGGACCCATCCATGACTGGCACCATTCAACTTGAGATTCGTGGTGTTGAGATCTCGCGTTGTTGTTAGCATCGCAGCGGTACAAAGTTGTGTTACATCAGCAGGGGAATGAATGAATACGTTGGTGGTTAGGTATGACTTGTTGCTTACATGTTGGGTAAGGGCACGGTGACCTGAACATAGCTTATCGGGAAGTACCCGGTCTTGCCGTGTACTGAGCCCTCGAACCAGTTGTCGTCAACTTTGTTGATCAGCGTGATCACGTCGTTCTCCTGTAACAGAAAAATATTTTTTTTTTATATTAATTATTGTTTAATTGTGGTGGTCAAATGTGAGTGGTTGATGATCCTTTGACATATGAAGCCATTAACATGTAAAAACTTTGTACAAACTAGTTGCTTTCGGAGGTACTCTTTTATTATGGCTGTGAGCAAAATAACATAAACCAAATATATTCTATTTTGAAGTCAATAGTCTAAACAGTTGCCTGTCCTAAGAGTCAAAACATGGATAAATGAGAAATAATAACCTTAAATCCTAGTTCCCCTTGGTTTTCTGGTTCGAAATCATAGAGAGCGGTGCAGCACGGCGTCTTGTTGGCCACGACGGGCGTTCGTGCGGGCGACTTAACCGGCGACGGCAACGGGGACGCTGCGGGGACGACACGATTTAGTAACGTATTTCTTACAGTCATATAAACTTTCTAAACTTTTAGCACACTCCAGTGACAACAAAAATTTTATTTGTAAATTAACATGATAAAAAGTTGTATTATTTTGTATAGGATTCACTACAGTGTGCCAAAAGACTAAAGGCCCGATCCACATGTGATATTTTATACAAAATAATGTTCATACTTACCTGCATATGTCTGTACTTATATTGGAAATTAAATACAAAATCAAACCATTTCAATTCCTGCCAAAAATATCACATTTCACCTATTTTTTTATATAGGCCTTAGGCGAAAAAACACTCCCAAACCAAATCATATCAAAATGATCCACATAGCTTTTGGAAATGACATCTTCTTTACAGAGTTATGAAGAGTGTGTTTTAACATTTAGTAGATATTACGTGTTCTTACCAGAAATGCAAGTATTTTTAATTAAAATAAACAAAAAGTTATCACAATAAGAAAGAGAATAGTTAACACATAAGTGAAAAAACACGTAGCCTCTACTTCAACTGATTTTAATCTCTATTCAATGTTCATGAAGTATGTATGATAGTTTGACATCCTTACAATGTTATGATAGTTCCATTATTACATGATATGATCATATGGCTATGCTGTATGTAAAATAATGAAGCATTAGCATGCCATTCAAAATGTTTCAATCGAACGCAACTACAAAACGTCACACGTGATCATGTATCTATGATTTTGACATGCACAGCTTTTTTTTTCTATGTATAGTTTACACTAAACTTATTGGTTTTAAAAGTTTTAGATTTTATGTTCACTAGATGGCGCTAGTGCGGTAATTGGTCTTAATCGGTCTAATTACAAAACAAGGCTTTTTTAGTGTAGGTCTAAACCATTGAACCAGTTTTTGTATTATAAATTGAAGGTTAATGAGAATAAGATTCAAAATATTAAACTTGACTCAATGGTTTAAAGTCAGACTACTACTGTTTTGTAATAAGGGGGATGGAGTTGGCAATTAGACCTTAGTTTACACTTACTCCTCTAATAACATCAAAACTCCTCTTACTATGCTTTGCCAATAAGTTTTGTGTGAACTATGAAGAATTGTTTCAACAATATCGTCCTAATTAGTTCCGATGGTAGACAAACCACAAAAATTGGACTTCACAAAACGCCACACAAGTAAGCAATACAAGAAGAAGCAGTCGTATTTGCTTGTAACAAAGTTCAAACTCAAAATCTACTTCTACGAATGTGTTGTTTTGCTCCGTGTTAAGTAACGTACGGTTTAAAAGATACGAAAGCATATTTTTACTACTCCAGTTATTTTGTTCTACACGATTCATGTTTGTGAATGTGATGTGTAAAAGATTGCATAGATTACTAAAGATTCTGGTTTGAGTATAACTGGTTTAAATCTAAGTTCTGTGTTTGTATTGAATCATATAATAAATATATAGATCTAAAATTTCGTGCCAATCTCTAAAATGAAACTATTTCTTAATAATAATAATAATAATTTGGAATAAACAATCGATAGTCGGATGACGCAATCATTAGTGAATTTAAATGAAAAAAAAAACAACTCTAAAACTGTCAATACAATCAGGCAGATAAAAAAATAAAATGCAATCTCTCATGTGTGTTCGCGTGTTACCATTGGTTGAGCGCGAAGTGTTGCCCGATCCCGGGAACAGTTCCAGGTTCGATGGCGGCTTGTGTTCCGGGGAGCCGGCGTGGGAACCAGCTTTGCATAACGTGAACAAACCATATACTCAATGCCCACAAAAATCATTACTACGAAACTCAAAAACTTGAACTAACACAAATATTTAAGTGTTGCTTCAAATTAATCATTAAATTCGCGATGTGCATGTCAATAAGTTGGTCTGTAGGGAACATGGAACATCTTCAGAAATAAAGAAGAGACATCAATATTGACTACACGAAGAAATAGGAAGAAAGATCATACCATACTGATTTTCCTAACAGATACTAAACATACAAAATATCCAAAAATAGAAAAATACACGTATTTATAATCTAGGTATATAGAGGAGACAATATAAACTGCTTGCATTGCCATTAACAAAATACTATGTATTTTTTTATCTGTGCTTTATATTTCATTATTGTTAATGGCAACACAGCAAAAACATAGAATAATTTAATATATTGTAATTAGGGATAGTCCTTAGTCAAAATGGGTTGTGGGATGGGATAAGGAATTTCGGCAACCTGTAAGAAAAGATTTCAATAATCTTCCCACTCCTGTAAGTGCACCTTTTCAGTTAAAACATAATAAGAGAAGCTCAAATAAAAATAATAAATAAAATGTTATGTTGCTGTATTTCTTTACTTCGACTGTTAACCCCGAAATTATGTACAAAAGAACTTTCTAGAACCTCTACTATAAAGATAAGTAAGTAGTTGTATAGAAGTGTACAAATTTAAAATGTACAAAATTAACTGAAGTTTCAACAGACAAAAATTAAAATTATTTCAATTCTGTCGTTTATGACCTGAAAACTGATACCCTGTACAAAATAGGTTATAAACTATTTTTACCCTTGCGTATATCTTTTTTACAATTAAATAATTGTGGAGCTGGAAAACTACAAAATTACTAAGGATTCCATCCTTATTCGCTTACTACTCTCCCCTTTTCCCTCTATAATTATGTCAATTATATACAATTTTATTTACATAACCGTTATTTTATACCTTCAGCGAATTAATTGTTTAGTATCTACATATTCAGGATCGTTAGTCACAATTTATAGAAGAATCAATAGAACAATGTATACATATGTATATACAAGTACACATAGTTTTTTTAAAAGGATTGTAATTTATCTCATGCCTACTAACTAAACGTTTTATTAATTTGTTTCTAAAATGAATGCAGTCACCTTGACAGCTGTATGATATATCGCACAGAGCGGTGCCAAATCCTAAATTACCCACATTTTACGATTTCTCTTCCCAGAGATTCGCGACTTTATGTACGCTGCGGTTAGTTATGAGTGATATAGTGTATTATTAGTCCGTCGCAGTAAAGTGCCGAGGTACGTCGCCATGTGCCCCAAGCGTGCGTAATGTCCTCAATGAAATGTGTTATGTGCAAGTCAGATTTCGACCATGGACTGCCTTCCACCACGTACCGCCACCATGACCCGCAATCCACAACCAAAACCAAACATAAATAACCCGGCAAATAAAACTGAAGTCACCTGTCCAGGGGTCCCTTCCATTGAACTGATTCCGTGGGGCTGGGTGCGGTTTGAACCCTGGCGCTGGCCTAACTTGGGTTCTGACGGGTGAGGGTGCTTCCCAAGCCTTGAAAGGATCAGTGGTGCTGAGGTCGCCGACAGAGGAGGAAGGGGGGATATGTTGGCGGGGACGGGACAAACTCTGGGTGGAACCGTACCGCCTACCATTGTTCAAGTCGTGGATGCCCTCGATGTGCAGGTCTGCTAGGGTCTTAGGTACGAACTCCATCTTGGGACGGTTCACCGCTTCCTCTTTCCTGAAAAAAGAGAAATAATAGATTTTTACGACTGCAAGAAAATAACTATAAATATTGTTTAAAAATAATGATAAAATTTATAATTACTTTAGCAAGATTGCTAAGGTATTACTTACTTTTCCATAAGCGTAGATACGAGTCCTTTGAGGATCTCCGTGCATTGTTGGTGGTACTCGAGTAGGCTCTCTGCGAAGAACGTGAGCTGTGCGACCTGCTCCACCTAAGAACGTCACACAAGTCAGCATGAACCTTTAATCTTTGCTATTCTAAACAATTTTTTAAGTTGGTAATGTAATAGAGTTCAACTTACGTCATTATCAAGAAGGTTGAACATGCCGATCTGGGCCAGTTGTAGCGACTCAGCAAACTTCTCTTCGGCCTGTCGTATTTCATCGTCTGCAATATGAGCTCCTGATGTTTATGAACGCTTCACAAACATACGACACACGCACGGACACGCAACATTACGTGTGAGCCGATGACATGAGGTTAGACAGGTGAAAAATAAAATCATAAAAAAATAAAAAACCAAAAGTGCATACAAACCAAACGGCGAAAATAATACTCAGGGTATGAATGATGGTTAGGAGCGACGCAGACGGACGGGAACAAAAACATGGAAAAAAACGAGCGTACATTATACGATTTGAATAGTTCTAATGAGGCTCTCAATGGCGTGTTAGCTTAGCACTACAGGGCTATAGTGTTTTAAGTTTTAGCATTTATTTCACACCACGTACCCTGTCTTGGTGCGTTGTGACTTGGGCTCATGTAAGGGCTGGCCCTACCGGGGCCTGGCCAATACATTCGGAAAAAAGAAAAAAAAGTAAAAACTCACAAAGATAGAAGAAAAATAAAAGTTAATAGATAAAAAATAAATTGATTATAAATGGGCAGTATTGAAAAGTTCTACAAACAAATTGATGATAATCACCTTTCGCCTGTCTTCGTCGTTTGCAGTCGAAGTCCAACCGGCGTCCCTGTAGTTTCTTTCGGTGATGCTGGAAACAAAAATTTACACATCAATTACTTTGTTATACTAACGATTATATGTGACAGGGATGTTACGGAGCTCCGACTCCGATTCCGATAAGTCGGAACTTCCGATTGATATTACACATCTGGTTCCGCCTTCGGCTCCGATACTTTGAATCGGAAGTTTTATTCGGATGTCGAAGCATAGCGGCGGTCGCGGTCAACAAGTATCAACAGGTTTTTGCAGGTCGCGCAGCCCCACTCCCCGTGTGCTTTCTGTCGTCGATTACGTACTTACTATTTCACTCCTTGTTACGCAATTTTGATGAAGGTTTGTTATTGTTTTGTGGTTGCGCGAAGAACGTGTCAGTTAAGTATTGAGTTATCTGCTAGTTTTTATCTACTAGTTTTTTTGTCACCATCTCAGACTCCGACTCCGATTCCGGTTCCGAGTCCGATAAACTAAATTTAAAAGCTCCGATTCCGATAAAACCACTTCCGTAACATCCCTGTGAATGTATCAAATTCAATAATACATTTAACAAGTGTGGGAGAGCTTCGGCACGAAGTCCATAACACGTCGGAAACCTAATTCCGAAAAGGTCGGCAACGCACTTGTATATCCTCTGGTGTTACGGGTGTCCATGGGCGGCACCGATTGCTTACCATCAGGCAATTCGTCTACTCGTTTGCCGACCTATCACGTTAAAAACAAATACTGTACTATCAGTGTCATAAGTGCATGGATGATTCTAAATCAAAATCGTTTGTACGGCGTTTCATCGCCTTAATTATATACCATGGACGACATAGATGGCGCTAGTATACTAGTGGTATTGAAAAATATACATTTATAGTTTTTATCAGATACAAAGTTATTAACTTAATAAATTTTTATACAAATTAATGCTACGATATTCCAAATCTTTTTAAAGCAATGCACGCAATAACCAGGATTCGAACTCGGTAGCATAAAATTAACCGATGCCACTAGCCATTAGGCCATTACGTAACCTTGAAATGTATTGAAATTATCCTACTCTTTATTATATTGAAGTTGTTTAGCAACTATAACCCGATCATAAATCTCAAAACAGTTGAGGGTAATTTAAAATTAACTGTATAAAAATTAAACCTTTTTGTTCAATCATAACATTCTTTACTATCTTTGAGTGAGTTCAGTCACGATTTGTTTAACAAGTTTTTAATATTTATTTTTATTATGAATTTGCGTTCAAATGTTGATATGGCTACGAGGGCCCAAATAATAGCATTGCATAATCAAAGCTTAAATTATACTGGAATTTCTAGAGAAACTGGCTTAAACGTAAGTATTCTTATAAATGACCGTTTGTTATTTATTTTACTATCCATGGTTATCGATACATGAAAATAATAATTAATACACGTCCCTTACAGGTAAAGACTGCCACTTTATGGATATCTAAAGCTGTTTCAAGAAGAGGGTTCATTGGAGCACCGTAGTGGATCTGGCAGAAGACGTGATATTGACTCAGACCAGTTTCAACTTATGGGGCAAGGTTATGAGGAAAATTACTGGAGCATTGTCATCTTCAGTGATGCAAACAGTGAAAACTACTTAGATGTGCTGAAAGACGTCATGAAGATGTGCTAGTGATAACGTTCGTGCAGGACAATTGTCCTATGTGTAATGTTCCATAATTGTGCAAGTGTTTAGTCAGCAATCAGACATACGGATTATTCCTTGGCCAGCGAGATAGGAGAAATAGGATCGATAAAAATGGCGGCTACACTAGTTCTTAAAAGAAAAGACATTGTTGACTATAGGATTAAGCAATTACAAGACCGGGGTAGCTATAATTTATTTAATGGATAAATGTTCAAACTTAGTGTTAGTAGGATAAATTTATTAACTACTTTATAACCAGCGACTGTTATACAGTAATGATTTTAATGTTTTACTAAATATGAGAAATAAAAATAAAAGCAATATTAATATTTACAGATGCTATTGATTGCAAAATAATATATTATTTATTTATTAATTACTATGAACAATTCGTCCCATATCTAGTGAATGCTATATCCCGGTCTTAGAAATGTTATTGATTTAAGGTCTAGCTTCAATTTCTTCCTTGTTCTGGAACGAATACTTAAGCTATGAGCCTTTGTCATAACATGATGCACAAAATGAATCACTTTAGTCAATACTTTAATTAAATTTTATGGGGAGGTAAAATAGTTGCAGAAGTAAGGTTGCATATTATATAGAATCGTATTATAACATTGTGTTTAAAACTAACTAATAAATGACTAGCACAACACAATTTTGATTTAAAATACTTACTAATCTTATAAAAAGTGTAATAAATAATGTGTCAGTTAGCTGAAAAGTTATTTGGTCAGGGTATACACTATATAAGAAAGAAATAAATGTCTGAAATTATAATGTCACTAAAATAGTTTTATTTGTTATCCTTTATGAGAATTATACTTAGTATTAGTCTTAATCTGTAAGAAAAATATGTTACTTTTACATTAATAGTTAGCACATATTATAAAACTTATTTATATATATTTATTAATATAATTTTATTCTAAAATAATATATTTATTTATTTTTGTTATCTTTTATAAATATTAAACGTCAAATATTTTATTTATATATTATTATTATGGATTTTATATAAAAAATATAAAAAAACCATTGTTAAAAACCTGAATTTAAAAATGATAACCCGGAATTGAACCCGTGCCCTTCGACTTCGTTATACTATCATTCTTATTTATCCGAGCTACCGATCGCATTTTTAATGATATCGAAAATGCGGGTTAGTTTATAACTTTTATTATTGTCTATTATTAATTATTGACGCCATCTTTTAATTGGTTTGCTTGACTTGACTTAGATGGCGCTATATTAAGTCCTCGGAAATGTGAAAATTAACATAATTTATGTGTATTTGAATATAAATATATTATTGTTTCTTAATTATTATTTTAACCATTAAAAACCTTATTGTGTGCCTCTGCAGTGTAAAGTATTCAAGCTTTGCAGGGTTATTTTCATTTAAAAGCAGCGCCATCTAGTTATCAATGGTAGCGTTATGCAAAACCTGTCAGTCAATAGTCGACCTTAAGCTCTCCATGCATTTTTGTCACCCTTAGTACCACCATACCTGCATCGTTTGAGGTAGAAAAACATTCAATGACTCATCCACCCCTATGACATGACAATCGCTTAAAACTAGTAAAAATAAATAAAATACTTTGGTTGTTGCGACATAACATACTATACAAATATTACGTCTTATTTTTTGTCTCCGCTCCGCTCTGGCTTATAAGTATAACAGATACAGAAAGAGACACTTAAATATCCTTACCATGACTTCCTTAAGATCTTTGGTCTGCAAATGATGAAGAGGTTCCAAGAAGTTTTGCTTGATGTTGTCGTCCAGAGAATACTTTACGTCGGCCATTTGCTTCAGAGCCTCGCCCATCTCGATGAGACAATTTGCTAAGAATTTATCAAAAATAAAAATGTTAAATAGCATAAAATTAATAATAATCTGTGTCTTCCGCATAATGAATGTAAAGTCCAGGATTCTATTAAAGAATAGTATGAGAGAGGTTGGTCTGTACATAGATATTGTAATGAACTAGTAGATGTAACATAACACAACTTGCTTGCTAGTGCTACAGGTCCTGGGAAAGAACAATTAAAAGAACTGGCTAAAAAAAACTAACATACAAATAAATATCATAGCAACGTTTTCTCATGAGGTGACTACACTTATCTTGGTTCTTCCAACATACACCGGATGATGGATACCGACACTACATTAAGGAATGAATCTCAAGTAATAGGCAAACCAAATTAAAATATGTCAATCAGTTTAGGCATCATTATAGCGTATGTTGGTTAGGCTTGCGCCACTCCCGAAGGAGAGCGCTGCACCCGTCCACGCTGCGTGCACGTCGCGTGACTGCGAAACGATAGAATGGAACGGAAAATCTAATGACAAACGAAAGAAAAACGTCGGCCTCTACGATGCCACGTAGCGTTCCACGACCGCGCGACGTGCACGCGGCGTTCTGTGGTCGCACGCCGCGACAACGCCGCGCGGTCACGCCCGGCTAACGCCAGAGTGTGCATCCCGGCATACCGTGTCCATCTGAATGACAAAGTTTGGTTCACCATCTTCGTAAAACACTCGCAACTAATAACACTTGTTTAATGCTACTTACAGAAGACGGTGTCCTCCCCAAGTTTCTTGCCGTAGAGTAGCATGCAGTCGCCTAGCACGCCCTCTGGCTGGGGGTAGGTGTTGCTCTTAGCTTGCCCGCTCAGTTTGCTGATGCCCTTCACGGCCGCCATCTTTGCACGAGCCGTGGGGTTCGGCTGCAGGAACTCTTTCGTTTTTGTTTGTAACTCTTCCACTAACTCGCAAGTGACGTCTGTTTTCTAAAAAAAGGTATTCAAGTATAAGGAAACTAGCAGAATGAAAACACCAATTTCTTATTCTGAAATTAAAATAATCTTTAAACCTACTGTTATATCTAGTTTCATTCAAAAGTCAAAAATAATTTATTCCAGTTAGACCCTTACAGGCACTTTAGAACTTCAAACAAAATTTTGAAGATATATGTAGAGTCAGTCTGTCGGTCAGTCTTCTTAGTGAAGCTATTTGCTCATTCCAAAGAGAAGATTCCGATGGAGAAGAACACAAATGTATATTGTATAAGTATCATACAGTCTCCACACATTTCTTAGGTTCAATTGTGAAATGAGATTTGAATTCATATTTCTGTGAGCGCATCGCATCTGAAGCTTTATTGTGTTACTATAAAAGCCAATAGTTACTGCTGTACTTACTCTTTCCATCTCCACAAAGTCCAAATCCAATTTTGTGCCCTCGGCACCTCCCATCTTTTCTGTGACATACTGAAATAAAGTATAATAAAAGTTATTTGTATATTTTCAGGTTGTCAGTTATACTGTGTCAGAATAAATGTCAAGAGAAACAAAAGTTGGAAAGACGTCGTTAAGGTTCTAACGTAAGTAACTCGACTGAACATAGCCACCGAATGAAACAGCGTAATGATATCATACATTTTAAACCCGAGTTAAAACAGTTGAAAAGAAATGTAATAACGAAGTTAAAGCATTAATGGGCAGCATTTTACTATTAAAAACTTTGTACAAAGGATAAACCGCGGAAGTATTGGGAGGGTTACGCGAACAAAAGCTTGGGTCGAGGTCTAGCCTTGGCCGGATTGTGCCCGGTCTGCGTCGGCAGCGAAACTGTAATAATGGGGAAAGCTTCTGTTTAAACTACTCACTACAAACGCAATCACTTTCTAATAAACTGACGATTAACGTTTATTCATATTACCTACATTACAAAATTACGTTAATCGTTCCTTACATTGAACACACACAGCAGTGTTTTTTTTTAATCTTAATAATGACTGCTTTCATATTGTTATTAAAAGAACATACTGTTACTCTCATAGAAATCACGGTAACAGAAGGATATAAATACTAATACTTAGAATTTCGAGATAGGAATGACTAGAACGAGTCCATAATAATTATAGAAAATAGAAAAGTCATAATTTTGTTTAAATGGAGACCAAAAAGACCTTTTAGACTAAATTTTATTGTTATTATTCATATAGCAAATTGCATAGACATCTAAATCAATTACTCCCAAAAATGTAGAATATTGCTTTGTTAAAAGTTGTAAGTAATAATATTGATTTTAATAGGCATAAATATATAAAAAGATTTCAACGAGATAGGACATTGTAAAATCAATGTATACTTAAAATATAACAAAGTCCCAGGCCAAGACCCAAAAGCTGTGAATAAGTTTAAACTTTTTTATTCTTTAAGTGACTTTCACTATGTCAATGTTAGCTTTAGTCGAAAAGAGAAAAAAACTTATAATAAATACACACTTAGATTTCTAGAAAGAAAAATATCACTTAAAAGTTATCTATCTTAAGTATTTTTGTACTTATTTTATTTTATATGACCCGTGTAATTTATTCATCTATAACAATTTCTGAATATTGAGATTAAGTTCGTTTCGTTTTCACTATAACACTATAAAAGATTGCTTATTTGAAGGATAAGCGCGTTCCAATAAATTTGTGAAATAGACCACGGAAAATTTGAAACATAAAATTCTCATTACGATTCCGTTAATGGCGTTTATCATGGCGTCTTAAACTCAATAATATCTTTGCACAAAGTACAAGTGTACCTATACACAAGTATACTTAAGGTCCTATTTACAATAGAACGGATGGAATAAAATGAATTGTAGAGGGCGGGACCTCCTAACAAAGACCTTGTTAGTCGGGACATGATCCTTGTCATGTCTCGCGGCCGTCGTAAAAACAGGGACGGACTCATAAACAACGTTTGTGGTTTCACGTCAGAACTTTAAGATAAGCAAAAAATGTTCCCGGAGACGGCTTCCGTCTTGCACAGCGCTAATCATTCGCGCAATCTACTTTATGTCTCTTCCACATTTCACGTTCTTAGTTGTTGTTTGTGCAATGCGAAATACACTCTATAGCTTCAAGAATAAAGTTAATTGTGTATCAACATAGTATTATTGATATTTTGCCTATAAATATTTATATTGATTCCGTACGATTATTCAGCATTGTAAAGGTAATCCCTGTTCTCATTCATAAGTGAAGTCCGTCTTGCCTTCGTTCATCCACATTGCCCTGTAGCATTGTGCACTTGACTATGTCGAGGTTAAAAGGAAGGATTGAGGCCACTACTCTCCGATGAGCTTAAAGTGACCTCGACTGTTATTTCCCAGGTAAGTAATATTTACCTAGTTCTACCTTTTGTACTCGGTTCTTTAAAGTCGCAGTATGATTGTAGGCAGTTTTTATCGAGAAAATGTGTAAAATATTTTAATGTTGAGCAAACCATTCGGTATACTAATAAATAAAAAAACGTTACATTATTGTTTAAAAATATATAAGTATAATTTTATCTAAATTACAAACGCATATTTATTGTTCCATATTTAAATTTAATTAGGAACTAGCAAGCACTTTCATTGGAACATGCAACATCTATATTAATTTACATGGAAACCTATCACGTCAACACCTACTCTCAAAACTCTATTAAAGCGATCTAACTATGTTCCCGCTTCAATGTCGCAGGACTCGAGAGAAGCTGCGAAGGCCGTAATAATTGGGGCACCTCGTCGATATAGGGCAGGCTAGGTCACGGCCAACCCCTCTGCGCACACTTCCCGTCCTTTTAACACCCAAGGTACAATGGGGATAAGCAGTGATTTTAGAACATTTGTTATAATCCTAATAGATAGCTCACATCAGTATAAATATCGTAAAGTTGATATAAATCGCACAGGCGGCTTGAATAAATAAAAGTAAATCTTAACGCTATTACGTTAGTCTTTCTTTAAATAAATAATATACAAGGACACAAAACATTGATGACACAATGTTGATATAGTTTTGTGATTCATTTATAAGCGTACACAATTTGTATTTATATAACAAATCGATTGGATGGGCCCAAAATAAGCGAAGTGCTTTTCGTTCGTGTACTTGTATAGCATGGTGATTTGTGTTTATCGGTGCGAACATGGGTATGACAAGTCGACAAGTGGGCGTAGTCATTCTTCAGAGACCTATGAAGTCATCCCAACTGTTCGTGGTTCATTACTACAAGGATTACTACGGAGTTCGCACATAAATGAGCGGAAGATAAATATTTGCTCTGAGGTTACGGTACATGTGCGAGATTATCGTAAATCGCGTTTATCGCTCGGTTTGCTTCTTACAAATTGTATTAAAGAGGTCACGCATTCAGTCCATAGCAGCAGACGATGGAATATATGCTTTTATTCGAACATTAAATAAAGGGTCTTAAGTCCCGTGTGATTAGGTTTAGGCAAGCGTACGCTAACGTTGATCGGATCATTGCTTTCCATTAGGCGGTATGAGATATCGACAAACGATGTAGCTTTTTGAGAACATAAAATAATCCAGCAACTTGTTTTATAATTTACCGGTCGATTAGGTATTCAGTGAAAACAGGATCGATGTAATTTTGTAGTTACGAAACAAAATATTACGCTACTTTTATCCAAAGAGGTAGTTACACGTTTAAGGCAAACTTGTTCATCAAAAATTTACTCGAGAATTGAGCGCAGGACATAAATATCAATAAACTAACAACGAGGTCTGATATAACAGAACGACAATCATAAACCGAATTTATATACATTGTATTGAATTTTTACATAGCCTTACTTTTTATTTGGAAAAACTGCACGGCAAGCAGTCCGAGTATAGTTTATTGCCGCGTTTTGTGGTCCGGTAACAGTCATAAAATGGGTATAAAACAAAAGGAGATAGCTATTTATTCGTAGAACAAGAATGAAATATAAAATCTAGAAACATGGTTGAAGACAAACTAAATAAGTTGAACTAGAACATAGTTCAAGCTCCTACACTAAGATTTATGCGAATGTAGAATTTATTGCCAACGACACACTGGACTATACGAACGTTCCAAGGAAATGCAGACGCATTGAGTGCTTAGGATTTCTTGGCTTTACGTGTATCTTCAAGATAATAGTGCAGTTTGTAAGACAGGCCATTTCTGCTTCTTCAGTAATATTACTTGTTCTGAATTTAAATAAGAATATGGATTAAACTTTATATGTATTTTAAAAAGGAGGTTTCCACTTCAAGCCACATCACATAATTAAAACATAATTTAACGCAGTCACTCATATGTGTACTTAACAAATATCTATCATATTTATTTTCTAACTAAGAGCGTATTCATAGTTAGAAATGTTACCGTAACAGGACAAAACTAAAAATAACAAAAATAATATTATTCTCCCTTTGACACGAGTCTGCCAAAGGTCTTTCAATGCTAATAATACGGGCTTTATTTTATACATTTCATATTTTCTATAAATAGAGACCCTATCTGATGTGTATTTTAACTTTGTCCTTATATAATTTCTGTGTGGGATATAGTTTCAGATTGGGCGTGATTGGGATTGGAAATTACCATCTTTATTGTGCCATCAATCATTTCATATTTTTGCTTGTTTTGTTACTTAAGTAGGGGCTTTATCAAGAACACGTGGGACGTATATACTGGATAACAAACTATTGAGTAGTTAATGTTTTTCAAAGCAGTATATACTAGTATATTCTGGTATGGAATTTTTAGTAAAGAGGACGCATAAGTCTGACCTCTGATTTAAATACACTAGTATAAGAGTATATGAATGAGTCTTTCCCACTTTAAGAATCTACATTTTACACCTGGAAATCCCTTAGTAGAAATTCTTATTCAAAACTTAGGCGAGCGTATATTTTATGACGACCAAAAACAGTTTTCTTCGATATTCATACACAAGATCAGATTTTATCTCACAAAGGCTAGTCTACCGTATAAGACTGACCTTCACAAAATCAGGTCGATACGACTGTGTGAGAGATAGTATGAAATATTTTCCAGAAAAAAGAAAAGATCTAAGGATTGTTTTAAAAGTACTTCGTACACACGATAGAAGATAAATTATAAAAAGTTTGAGAGTATTTCGTTGACGAGAAAACTCTTTATTCTGTAAAGAGATAGATATCTCGCAGCGTCCGCACATTGGAAGCTCTCCCTGTGTCATCACTTTACGTAATTCCGAACAAAAGTGAAAAAGGTGATCTGTAGATAAAAAATCTTCAAAATTATTTCACTGAAATAAAAAGTGCTACTTCATTCGTCAAGAGGTCGTGAGTGAGACGGACGGGAAAGCGGTAAATGTCGAAATTCTTAACCTTAACGTTTGGTAAAGTGTCCTTGAATACACTGTGATCGGTAATACAAGTAGTGAAAAATAAGTACTGCAAAGCGTTTTTAAAACAAGCAACAAAAAGTAAGAAAGGTAGACCAAAATCTTCATAGCAAACACTATCTTGTATTTTTTTAAGAATTCATTACTCGTTGGTACGAAGGTACTGTAAGTCCAGACAGGACACCGGAGGTCGAGATGCCCACAGTTTATTTTTCATCAGGCTACAGGCGACTAAATAAATACCAGACCTGCCTTTCAGAATAATGTTCGCAAACTGTTTAACATTTCACTCATTAACAGGAAACATTACGTTGAGAAGAGGAAACTAAGTAACGTTTAGAGCACTGTATTATCTCAATATTGTTGTAGACTAAGTTAAAACAAAAAGGGATACTATGGTTATAAAGTTTAATAAACTTGGTGCTCATCCAACTGGTTAATTGAAAAATATTTCAACAAAATCGATGCTACAAATATGTCGCTAGGTGAAATGCTGACTCGAGTCCAAATTGAATTTTAAAAAAGCCGGTCAAGTGCGAGCCCTGGTTGCGTGATAAATGCTCTCTGCATTGGCGTATTGGTATTGTTACACAAAGGCTAGTAGAAAAGTTTTGATTTAAAACGCGAACGTTCTCACTAGCACTTTTCTCTTTTTCCAAAGACAATTTTAACAAGGTTACAAATTACCTTCGAGCCTCTCGATTTAGATTAAGTCAATAATTAAAATCACCTTTCAATAATCTTATATATAAAAATGGATCGCAAAATGTGTTGGTAAGCGCATAACTCAACAATGCCTGGACCAATTTTGCTAAATCTTTTTTTGTTATATTTGTTATTGTTAGGAGATGGTTTTTATCAAAATATTAGAAAAGTAGAGTGGAAGATTAGGAAAAAGTGACCCTTTGATACCGACATAGTTGGACCCGTGCGAAGCGGGGGCGGGCCGCTAGTAATTTTATATTAATACTAAGCCTTTATTTTCAACTTTGATAACAAACTCAGCTTGTTAAAAAAAAAATAAGACTGCTTTATCTCAGACCAGGTTATCAATATTACATGTCTCAAATAGAGTACCTATTAATACCAAATACCCTCAAACAATTAAGTAATACGGTTAAAATGGTAAAGGCGAACAACATTGAAACTTAAGAAAAAAAAGATTTATAACCAGAAATATCCACCGGCACTTATAAGCATTGAATTAACATTATAATCTGTGAAACCTGCCAAAGTTTTTTTTTATTCTGATATCCTCCGTCCACAATGGTATAATCCCTAAAGGTTTTCTTTTAAAAAGTTTTTAATCTCGGCAGATATTTTCCTCAAGACTGTTCTTTTATAAATGAACGTTTAATAATAAACTCTCCTCACCTGATTGGCCTTGTTGATTTGCTTTTTTAGACCGGCGAAAGCCATGGCTGTGGTGTTGCGCCTATCTTTGGTTCAAATTATCTGAAATGAGAAAAAAGAACATTAATTAACTAGTATTCAAACGCTTAAGTTTAATTAAACTTCTGCGTGTTTTAACAACTATATAAAGAAGCAGATTTGTTTGAGAAACTCAGCTTGTGACAAGGATCGCATTATAATAAGTACACAACAGTAATTTAAAGTACAAAAAGTAAATAGAGAAAAGTTCATTTTCATGAAACCAGAGCTATTTAAAATATTACTTCGTAGTAAGGTAATGGGTTAAATTATGTATAGGTATTCTAGTAAAATACAGAGCCGTAGTTTTATCTAGAACTTTAACCTTTGAAAGCAATCGATTGGAGTTCAATTAAATAACAACTCGGTCAGTACTCGTGCTCAAGTGTTATACTAAGTAGTTACTACAAGTATTTACTTGACCACGTCATTTAATAACTAAGCCGTTAGAAACAAGAGTACCTACGGACGTCCAGTAACAGTTGAAACATAAGTTTAAAGCGCGAACATTTGGGAGACAAACTGGCCGTTACGAAATAATTATTCTGTACGTGTACCAGACACGGCCAGTAAAAAGTACTTACAGTTACAGAACAGTTTTAACACCGAAACTTTTATCATTGGACGCAAGTCTCTCTTCTAGAGCAGGCTGCCTAGCGGAGAGTAGGGTAGCCGAGTTTGTTATTGGCACGGTGCCACATTAACGGATCGATACGGTCGCGAGAACTGTAAGTAACATTATGTAATCGTCGACTTGTTCAACAATAACCCTATTACGGTAGTAGGTTCAGGTTAATGTGCACTATGGCAGAGTCCGGCAACCGACCGCCGCTTACCCCTATTAATTGATAGTTGATAATCTATTAACGTTACCCTTGTAATACGAGGTCGGCTGGAGAAAAATCTCCACGGATTTATCTTACATAATTTATTTTAATGAACGAACCAACTTACGCTGTTTAAGTAAATTAAGTTACTTTAACCCAAAAATGTTTAAGCTTAGTTTAATTTCGTTAGTTTGCAGGGTCCAGTAGGCTTTATTATAACATACCAACGTTTTAGCGATTTATGCCATCACTAAGAGTAAACAAGTATAAATATTACTTTCATCTCCACACATAACTTGGGTCTTTACACAAGTAAGTAGGTAGTTAATAACCCATTGTTACGTGTTGTTGGAAAGGGCAATGAACACGGTTGCGGGTTAAGGGTCTATAAACTTCCATGCCGTGTTATAATTATTCATCAGTTCAGTTCAATACTAACTATACATTTTTAAGTATCAAACAACCTGTTGTCGGACGGAAAATCGATTGCGATAGCTTAAAATAGCAATACGCAAATAGGTCTCATTTCAATCATTGAATGGTCCGACGGCCTTTGAAATATAAAATAATTTTGATTTACAATTTAACGGAATATATCATTACATGTATTATTATTTTCGTTTTCATAATTACATTACCGAACTTTTAACAATATTTTTCACGTACGTATATTAAAATAATAAAACGTTCACTGTTTGAATAAATAATACCTACGGAACGTCCGAATTAAAAATTCAGTTCATGTACCCGGTCTGTTAATTACTAATTCACAAAGCGAAAATAATAAAAGCGTAGAGCCAAAATAACAATATTAGCTAGTGAAATGTTTATTTATAGTAAGCGAAATGTTCGCAGCAGATAACAATGGACCATAAAGAAGCGTTTACAATGTTTGCTTAGCTTTATTCTCGTAGCGCATCGTAGCGCTTTGTAGATGGGATCTACGCCGTAGCGCTACACGCTAATGTAATTGAAATATTAAGCTCATTACACGAAATTGCACAAGTATTTATTGGTGTATTTGTTTACTATTTGTAACTTGTAACAGTGTATTAAAATTTATCAGGCTCGTGGTACTAGTCAATCTATTTAATCCTATCAAAATCACTCATTTGTATGCAAAATATCGGGCGGGTTGATCCGGCAAGCATTATTTGAAACATGTAACGTACACAAGCTTATCTAGGATAATATATTGAGAGATTTTGTTCAAAAACACAGACAATCAGCTCAGTAACATGTATGCAAAGACTAAAAACTATTACAGTAGAGATAGTCGACGATGAAGATACCAAGACTGCACACAACCACTCACTGAGATAATAGGTGCTTCAGATAAAATGAAGTTATATGCACCCGACGTCAAATCACATACAATATTCTGATGAACTTTCGCCGAAGACTCCCCGATTAAGTCTAATAGAACCTTAAAGTTTCATTACGTGGAAGATTGCAATTTTATTTTACGGTTTGTAATGGGAGGTTCTCCATACTCATGAATATATAAAGTGAAGTGGAAATTAGTAATATTAGACCGCGACACGTGGGCGGTCCCGCGTCACTCATTACGGTGATATTAAAATTTGTACGCTTGTGAGCGCTTCTCAATATTTTACACGACCTTTGGGTCTCAAAGTAATTTCATTACGTATTTAATTTTTCATTGAGGTGGAACTTTCATTCACAATTACAAAGTCGAGAGTTTTATACGTCAACTCAAAATTAAAGTAAGTATCATGTACTAAATATGCTTTCAATAAATTATTATATATCTTTACATCTACAAGGGAGAGAAGGGTTTCATAACAACACGACTCAACATTAATTACACCTCTTTACGTCTCAGTAAAGGTTCTATTTTAAGCGAGGCTCAGGAGAATTAGTCGTCAAACTTTGAGTAGACCTGAACAAGCTAGAATGTTGAGCGAAATCTCACTTTGATGTTTTTTTTTACAAAATCCCAAAAGCGAAGTGTCTCGTGACAACGAAAAACAAAAGAATAAATCTAAAAATAGGAGCGTGGTGCCTGCTTTTCTGTACTTTCATGAATAAACTTTGAAAACAATAAATATGACATGTTTCAGCTCTACTGATGTCATTTCTTTTTTATTTGTTTCCGTCTTACAGAATAATGACAGAGTACGGCGGAGGTGGACAAATCAGCCAAATCTAAAAGTTTTTGTTTAAATTAAGTATCTTATAATGCAAAGTCACAATAGCAGACCCTTATTAGCGTCGCGACCACATTACTTAGATCCTAAATTATAATTATGAAGGTGCTAATGGAGTTACACCATTTACGCAGACGTTATGATCCTCGAGCACTCGGCTCACGCGTACAACTCGTGACTGAAAACATTCAGTGAAGCCAGTTCATTTCAATAGATTTATTAGTAGAACACAACTTTATATACTGACTAAATTGCCAATTACACACTGCCATTGAGCGCATGGCTGCGGCTTCACACAAACGGACATTTTGCCCCGCTACCCGCTTACAGTACATCAAAGATAATTTCGATAATATTAATTAGGGTTCATTAGCTTTTGCTATTACTAGAACATACATACTACACGGGTATTACATTCAGCTACGTTGATTACTACATTGATTTATGGCTTATCTATTCAAAATTGTCCCTGAATAGCCATTAATCTAAGCGAGCTCAATATTAGGGTCAAAGCAACGGCCCTGTACGGCAGCGATAAATGAAGACCCAGCATTATGTAAATCACTCGAGTTAATTTTATACGAAACGAAGGATTTTGTTTGGAAAAATTCACAAAGGGAAGAGTGTGAACATGAACAAATGTAATTTAGGGCGAGCGGTATTTGTTTCGGTTGGAAACATCTGCCCATTGTGGTGCTTTTGGTTCCATTTAGCTTTATATACTACGTGTATCGACGTGGCCTGACATTTACAGTGCACTAAAAGCTATTTCGGTACGAATAATGACACAAATGGCCTGAATCATACAGAATACATAATTAAACCGGGATTCAGATAAACTAGTATGACGTATCAAAAACCTCAAGGCTACATATTTCAACAAAGATGTACTAAATTGAATATCATCTACAAAGAAAAACAGTCTGTTGAATAATTTAACTCATTTAATATTAGGGTTAGCCAGATAATGTTGAAATATCACATTAGGGTTGTCTAGCTCGGAGCTAAACTTAAAGTTAATATTTTTGATGTTATAACATTTTCCAAGAAAATTATTTCAAGTTTATCTTCTGAGCGGTTACATGGGAGTATATAGATTCACATGACAAGAGTACGTCCGCGGGGCATACAATACACAATAGTGTTCCAATATAAGTTTTACGCTGTGATAGGAAACCCGCAACAATAGTTTCCGATCTTTTTTGCAAACATTTTCACAATGGCGTAGTTTATTATCTTTGAGGATTAAAGTTCTTTCCGATAATATTCCAGCGATATAAGGTATATACAATATTTATTATAAGTCAAAGAAAAATTACATTTTATCACAAGGAACTTGCCTTTGAATTTTTATTGGATTCTAGCACTAATTGAATGCTTTTGATCTTTTTGTCCTTTATCTGCAGATCATCGATTCTCGTTAGTTACTCACGAACTCATTTTCTGAAGCATATTTCGAACCAATATGGCTCACGATATACATAAACTTATTCATTTCAAGAACCTTTTTATAACATAATGTGGGTAGGAACAACTTACTTATACATATTTGTAAATACGAGTTATATAATATTGATGAACAAGTACGAAGGTAAATTGTCACATAACGATTCTAAATAATTCCATATCGAATATTAGTATACAAATATCAAATTCTAAGACGGAATAAATTTAAAACTAAAAAGTTTGTGTGGGCGATTGGTTTGTTATTTGCAACATAAAACCTTTTTGATACATACCTACGTCTACGTAGACATAGTATATCAAATTGGGCATGCTACCTCAAACCCACAGGTGTGTATTGGGAGTTGTACTGATTAATAATTCACAGTGTCTGCAGTGGTAAAGCGGCTTCAGACATCTCGCAAAACCACTACCATTTAATCGGCTGGGCAAACTGTTTTGTTCTAAAATGTTAATTTGGTCCTAGTACCTATAAACACGCTGAGCTTGGTTTCATTATACTTACCTGAATTTAAAAGATTAAATTAAAAAATATATATTTAACGCTACAACGCCTCCTGTT